ACACACAAACTCACTAAAACCCGCACACATGCAGTACTGTCTGCAGCTTAATACTTTGACACGGAGCAATATCTGTACCTTAATCACAAGCTGCATCCATTAAAATCACAAATAACCCGGAGGGGCCAAAATTTGGTACTCATTGTTTCACATTGCCAGAATGGCTTAGATTATTAAACCTCTCATGAAATGGCCACCAACCACACGTACCGTATCCTGATTACACACCAGGGCTAATTTTGTTAAGAACGGAATGGTGATGTTCACTAAGGTTGGTTGGGGTACATAAACCTAACCCTAACTGTTGTACCCCATATGACACACATCACTAAGACTATAACATCTGACACACCCCCATAGCCTAAGTGAGGGGTCTCAAGCAAAACCAACAACGTACGGTCACAAGACCTGTCACAAAGCAACAAAGCTCAGGGTGGATCACAATGTCACCACACACTCTGAGCACAAGCAAAAGAGCCACAAGGCCAGCTCAAGAGTTCACAGATGTATATATGAAGCAAACAAACAAAGCAAGCAGAGAACTCAAGACTAAGCAAGGCGAGAACCTGTGTCAACGAGCCCTAACTGCACACAACACCTCTTGGTGGTCGCTTCACCCTTAAGATCCACATGCCATCGACTACGTTCACTCCAGGGGGGGGAACCTCGTCGACGTAGGTGCCTGTGGATCTGTAGGAGGCCATCTCTGAGTCCATGGCAGCTCTCCACTGAGAGGCCCAAGGCCTTGACACTGCCTCAGCGTAAGTGCGAAGAGTAGGTATGTCAAGGGCGTCGGGGTCTCCCTCAGGGGCGAGCAGCATGGCACAGAGATGAGGGGAAGCGGCTGCCAAGAACTCTAGCTCCGACTGCCTGTCCTCTAGGGCGTCACAGCTAAGGGCAGACTCACCCCCGACGGCCAGAGGACTGGTAAGAGGAGCAGCCACGAGACACGTGGCGTAGTCAAGGCGGTGAGCAGTGGCGAACTTAGTGACGGCGACAGTAAGGGCGGAGACAGAGGACAGAGAGGTACGAGGGTCCGTAACAAGAGAGCCGAGAACACGAGAGAGAATAGGTTGGTATGTGTGGTAGTAGTCAGTGACAGGAGTAGAGAGGGAAGCAGTGAAGGCCGACTCAGGAGGAGAAGGAAGCACCGAGTGAGACGAACGAGGCGGACTAGAACGAAACAGGACAGTACGAAGGTCAGTGAAGGGCATAGGGGACGACGGACGAGCACGAGGAGAGGGACGAGAAGGCCAAGCATGAGAAAGAGGAGGGGACAACAGAGGCAGAGAAGGAGTGAAAACAGCTGGGGAGGGGTCAAGAGGAGGAAACGTGGGACCGTAGACAGGAGGAGAGGGAGAGGAGGGAGGAGAGGGAGAGGGGAGACCGAGGGCCCGAAGGCCAGAGACAGGAGGCGGAGGTGGCGGCTGCTGCTGCTGCTGCTGCTGCGGCGGCGGCTGCTGCAGCTGCTCCTGCTGTGGCGGCTGCTGCTGCTGCTCCTGATGCGGCTCCTCCTGTTGCGGCTGCTCCTCCAGCTGCGGCTCCTGCTGCTGCTCCTGCTGCTGCGGCTGTCGCTGCGGCTGCTGCTCCTGCTCCGGCTGCAACCACTGCTCCTGCTGCTGCTCCTCCAGCCGCTGTAGCTCCAGCTGCTGCCGCTCCAACTCTCGCTCCTCTCTCACCAACTCCAGCTGCTCCTCACGGGCACGGCGAACACGGGCCTGGTGCCGGGTCGGGTAGGGGTGGGGGGGAGGAGTAGTGTCCGGGGCGGTGGTAGCTCCAGGACCACTCTCCAAAGCACCAGTCGCACCACCCCCAGAGCCAGCACCACCAGCAGCAACACGACCAGTCCCAGACTCTCCAGGTCCCGCAGTGGGTGCACCCGCACCCCCAGTCGTAGCACCCCCAGGGACAGCTCGACCAACACCAGCTCCCCGAACACGAGAACCTCCTGCAGACACGAGCTCAGCCCCAACTCCAACACCTCCAGAGGTAGCACCCCCAAGGTCCTCGACACGAGCACCTGCTCCCGCAGGGTCTGCAGTAGGCTGGGAGGAGGACTGTGGGGAAGGGGATGGTACCTGAGGGGCGACCGAGGGGGGGGGGGCTGCACCGGAGGGGCAGGAGGGGGGGCGGGAGTCAGGAAGAGAGGGGGAGGAGGAACCGAAAGACCTTGACAAGGGTACCGGGTGTAGTAGAGGACGGACTCGACAAAACGAATGTCGCGGGAGTCAAAGAACCTGTGAAGGGGAGGGTGGTAAAAGGTGAAGCCAGAGGAGCCCTCGGGGAAACCAAGGAAGACACAGGGAAGGGCGCGAGGGGAGAGCTTATCCGCGGAGGTGTCGCGAACAAGCGCCAAGCAGCCCAAGACACGAAAACGCGACGCAGCATCAGGGGACCCGGTCCAAAGACTGGTCGGTGAAGCCTCTGGCCGAGAGACACGTGGCCAGAGGTTCAGCTGGTGAGCGGTGTACCGAACCGCGTATGGCCACAAAAAATAGGGCGCACGGGCGTGAATCATGGAGGTGCGTGCAATCTCCATGACCAAGCCTATGCGGCGCTCAGCAACCCCATTCTGCTGTGGGGACTCTGGAAGCGTCCAGGACTGACGAATGCCCTGCTCGCGACAGTATCCAGCGAGAATGCCGGAGCGAAACTCACCCCCACGGTCGAAGTGAAGACAGCTGACACGACGACCACGGATGTCCGCAGTGGTAAGTAACCACCGGATCAGCATAGAAGTCACCTCAGACTTCTTCGCCAGGGGGAACACTGTGGTGTAGCGAGAGTAGTCGTCAACGACCACCAGAAAGAAACTCTCTCGCTCAGGGCCAGGGCGAGGGGCGGGGCCCCAGACGCCCAAGTAGAGAGTCTCAAAGGGCTCAGTGGCCGGACGAAGGGAGGAGGAGTGAGGGGTGGCGCGCAGCCGACCCTCGACGCAGGGACCGCAAGGTGGTGCAAGCGAAGGCGGCAGCGACGGCGAGACTCGCGGGAGGCCTAAGACAAGACGCTGACTAGACATAGCGCGCAGGCGAGGAATGGACGGGTGCCCCATCCGGTGGTGCCATAGAACGGTGGGGTGGGCAAGTGACCGGCAAGAGCAAGACGCAGCAACTAGACCAGACACCGGAACCTGACCAGACACAGCTACCTGGTGAGAAGCGGCAACCTGGTGAGAGGGGGGGACCTGACGGGGGGCAGTGACAGTGGTCGGGGGCAGTAGCTGCTGCTGCTGCCGCGGCTGCTGCTGCTGTTGCTGCTGCCGAGGCCGAGTGTGAAGTGTGTAGAGACCAGAGCCCGGCTCAGCGGTAAAGGTGGCCAGAGGTGCGTACGTGTCCCCATCAACACAAACCGCAGTCTCGCCAGAAGGCTCAATCCACACACCCACGTGCTGACTCACGAGCGGCCTCACGCCCACCAAGTTCCTCAAGAATGAGGGGACGTGGAAGCCGGTCAGAGAACCGGAGGGAACAGCCGGGCACGGAAGCGTAGTAGTGTAGCGAGCAGTGACTGGTCCCGAAGTGGGATCACCCAGTGCCACAGAGACCAGCGTAGGAAGCGGAGTAAGCGTCGTGTGTTTGCGGAAAAAACAGTGCGAAGCTCCGGAGTCTAGAGTGAAAGATAGCGAAGTGTCCTCTGGAGCAACTCCTGGACTAGTGTCTACACAAGTACCTACGCTAGCCACAGGCACCTCAGCAACACTAGCACCTAAGCTAACAACACTCGAGTAAACAGAGTCAGAAGCACTAGAATCAACAACAGCATACATAGCATGAGGAGTTCCTAAGAGATCAAGCAACTGAGAAGCCGACATGCCCCACAGAGCGGGGCCGTACGACTGAACAAGGGGAAGCCAGACAGGGGTAGGGCCGTCAACGATGTAGACCACACGAAGTGTGTCAGTGAGCTGAGCAAAGCACTGACCCGGTGGGTGGGTGCGGCCACAGGGGAGGCCTCGGCGAGCACTTGTCTGAACGAGGTAGGTGTAGGGAGGGTGGACAGCGCCACGCGACAGCTGACGCGGTCCTGACCCCTGCCCCGGAGCTTGCTGCTGCCGCTGCTACTGCTGTGGCTGCTGCGAGAGGAGGGGTTGCTGCTGCTGCTGCTGCCGCTGAGTCAGGTACCAAGCCGCCACTCCAGCACCTGCAGCTGGTGGACCAGCAGGTGCCTGACGAACCCGAGCGTCACCTCCACCAGCTGCAGTAGAGGAGCCACTAGCCGCTGCACGAGGCGCTCCTCTAGCCTCTGTACTGCCGCCGCCGCCGCTCGCCATGCCACCTCCGCTGCCTCCGCCGCCTCCGCCCGCACCCTGTCACCGAATAGATTGTTGTTTGCAATATATTCTGTTACTCGCTAGTGTAGGTGTAGTAGGGTTAATCGAAGTACTGTAGAAGGTGAGTTTGGTGAGTGGGTAGTGACGCGAAGTGGTGACCAAGGGACTTGCGAGGCGCAGGGTGGGACAAATTCAAGGGCGAGCCCTGGGCAATCCGAAGGGCCAATCTGAAGCCTAGCGGGCGGAGCCCAATGTGACTTACGGGAAACTGCACGGCACGGGGTAGAGACTCAAATAGGCTAGGAACTCACTGCTTAGTTCGTTCTCTTGTTTGTTTGCTCGTAATAGTGGATATAGGTTGCCATTTGATAGCTAACTCCAGCTTAGGCGACTAAGCCACTGTGGGCAGCCATACGTGGGGGAGGCAGAATCTCTCACAAACAAGAGAACCAAGATCGGGCAGAATGGACTGCCATGAGCTGCAGTGGCAGCAGACGTACTCGCGTCGGGAGTTACCACCGCCGCGAAGGATGCGCTCAAAGGAGCGGGGAAGATCGCCAGGTCGCTCGCCTAGGAGAGAGGCGGATCGGGTGGATCGGATGGCAACCAGCGACGGACGGCGCGGCGAAGGCGAGCTCGGTCTGTAGACGAGATCGGCGCCAGGACCCCAGCCGTCGAGGAGCGATCCCTGGAATCTGGCAAGAGGCCAGCGGGGCGCGGGAGTAAGGCGTCAGGAGGATGCCGACGAGACGGACTCGCTGATGTCGGCAAACGAGGCCGACGGCGAGGAGACGGCGGAAGATGATCCAAGGAACGCGGGAGCAGATCGCTCGCCGGACGACATGCGCGAGGGAGGCGAGATGCACCGCGGAGAGAAACGCGAAGAGTGCGGAAAGGCGACGGGATCGAGTCGCTCGACAGACGAAGTGCGCGGTAATGGCGCGAGGCGCTGCGGGAGCGCAGATGCAGACGGATCGGACGGTGAAATGCGCGAGAATGGCGCGAGGCGCTGCGGGAGCGCAGATGCAGACGGATCGGACGGTGAATTGCGCGGGAATGGCGCGAGGCGCTGCGGGAGCGCAGATGCAGACGGATCGGACGGTGAAATGCGCGGGATTGGCGCGAGGCACCGCGGGGAAGCGGATGCGGAGCGTTCTGCTGACGAAAGGCACGGGAGTGGCGCGAGGCGCCAGGGGAGCAGCGCGGATGCAGATCGCGCGCCAGGGGAGGTGCGCGGGAGCGCGAGGCACCAGGGGAGCAGCGCGGATGCAGATCGCGCGTCAGGGGAGGTGCGCGGGAGTGGCGCGAGGCGCCGCAAGAGCAAGGAGAATGACCGCGCGACAGGGCGCATGCGTGGGGAAGACGGATCGCCGGAGCCACAGCCAGAAAATGAGAGGATGAGGCGTATGGTGATGGGAGCTCGGCGATCGCCAGAGCCGTGGGACGAAGAAAAGGAGAAGCTGAAATGGAGAGAGGAGGAGCAATACAGAAGGGGTGAGAGGTCGCCTGAAGGGGGGACAGAAGGGGTAAGGGAGGAACATGAGCATGGGCTGGATTGGTGCCAACGGGGTAAGAAGGAGAAGGGATCAAACTTTGAAGGAAGAGAGGGGTACAGGGGAAGGCAAGAAGGGCGTCAAAAACCTGGTGCAGGAGTAAGGGAGAAGCAGGACCTAAGCGGACAGAGGAAGAGAGGTGACAAGCAGCACATGCGACGGGAGGAGATGCACGAGTATGAAGCAGAGAGCGGGGAAGAGGAAGAGAGTGATAGGCGGGCACGCCATGGAGCGGGACAAAGGGAAGAATGCTGGGAAGAATATTTCACTGGAAGGAGAGAGGGGCAGAGGAGAAGGCAGGAAGAACGGAGAGAGTTTCCTGAGAGAGAGGACCGGCAGCAGCGGGAAAGGAGGAAGCGAGAAAGGCAATTTCAGGAATATTCGCCTGAGAGGAGGGAAAGGCGATGGGGGAAAGCAGGCGGGGAAAGAGAGGCTTACGAGGAGGAGCGGAGAAGGAGTCCGAGTCCGAGAGGCCTTAGGAGGCCACGGGTGGCAGGAAAAGGATCCAGCGAAGCCAGAGTTGCTAGAGAAGGAATATACAGGGTCTTATATGGAACAAGCACAGGCAGCAGGGGAATGAGGGAGCACAGAGGAGAATTCAGCCGCGCAGAGCGAGGAGCAACGGGAACCTGGGACTCAGGGAGATGGGGCACGCAGGCGCCACCACAAGTAGAGGTGCCTGTGCGCTTCACGGGGAATGAAGGGACAAGCACTACCCTGAAGAATTATCTGATGCAGATTGGGAATGTCAAGTACAGGTCTGATCGGAGTGGGATGGACCCCATCGACTTCTTTTTGAGGCTGCCGAACACTTTGGGTGGGGAAGCAGAAACATTGTATCGTATGAAGATGCAAGAGTGGCTGAGGAGGGCCGAGGAGGATGGGGACGACCCTACGTCACTGTTCCTGGAGCGGCTGCGCAAGCAATTCCCAGGACATACGGCAGAGCGAATTAGGGAGTTTCAGGACTTCAAACGCAGGGAGGTGTCAGACTTATATGACTTAGCCTGTGTAGGCTATAGTGGGGTAGCACATATGGGGTACAACACATTTCTAGGGTTTGTACTTGTACCCAACCCTTTCCTCTAGTAAATCATTCCTCATTTCTTAACATGGTATAGAGCAGGTTCCCTAGTGGGAACGCTTCTCAGGGCCCACCACTGAAATCAACTTTTTTTTTTTCTGACCGGAGCGCGAGTCGCCCCTGCCCGAGGCGCGCCCCGTTGGCCGCCCTCACGTCGCGTCCCCTGCCCTTAGTGGCCTGTCGCGCCCTCCTAGAGGCCCCTCTCACAGCCCCTCGCGCCACCCTTAGCGGCCCCGTCGCCACCCCTTACGGCCTCGTCGCCGTCCTTTGCGGCCCCGTCGCCGCCCCTCTAGGCCCCTCGCGGCCCCTTCGCGGCCCCGTCGCCGCCACTAGCGGCCCCGTCGCCGCCCTTCGAGGCCCCTCGCGGTCCCTTTGCGGCCCCGTCGCCGCCCCTAGCGGCCCCGTCGCCGCCCCTATCGGCCCCGTCGCCGCCCCTAGCGGCCCCGTCGCCGCCCTTCGAGGCCCCTCGCGGCCCCTTTGCGGCCCCGTCGCCGCCCCTAGCGGCCCCGTCGCCGCCCCTATCGGCCCCGTCGCCGCCCCTAGCGGCCCCGTTGCCGCCCCTAGCGGCCCCGTCGCCGCCCCTAGCGGCCCCGTCGCCGCCCTTCGCGGCCCCGTAGCCGCCCCTAGCGGCCCCGTCGCCGCCCTTCGCGGCCCCGTCGCCGCCCTTCGCGGCCCCGTCGCCGCCTCTAGCGGCCCCGTCGCCGCCCTTCACGGCCCCTTCAGCCGCCAAGCAGCCGAGCCGCCGAGCTACCGAGCCGCCGAGCCGCCGAGCCGCCGAACCGCCGAGCCGCCGAGCTACCGAGCTACCGAACCGCCGAGCCGCCGAGCCGCCCAGCAGCCGAGCCGCCGAGCCACCGAGCCGAGCCACCGAGCCGCCGAGGCCGCCGTCGAGCCGCCACTACCGAGCCGCTGCCGCCGAGCCGCCGTCGAGCTGCTACTGTTCCTACCGGCGCGCCCCGGCCCTACCCACCCGGACTGGTGAGAGCACTCCCTTCTAGACCACTGCTGTCATGGCTACCCCCAGTGTCCTTACCTTTGATGCTAAGGGTCGTGCTGTTGACTTTGAGGTCTGGGTCGATGACCTCCAGCTCTTCCTCCAGTGCGATAGGGCAGACGGACTCTCCCTGTTCGATCTCACCTCTGGTGCCTCTCCTGCCCCGCCTGCTGATGCTGACAGCACTGTTCGCTCACAGTGGGCCACACGCGATGCTGCTGCCCGTCTTGCTGTGCGTCGCCACTTACCGACCGCTGAGCGTGCGCACTTTAGTCAGTACAAGAGTGCTAAGACCTTGTACGACGCTGTAGTTGCACGCTACTCTTCCCCTGCCACTGCTGCTCTTAGCCGCCTCATGCTGCCGTACCTGTTCCCTGACCTTGCTGCCTTTCCCACAGTCGCTGACCTCATTACGCACCTTCGCACTAGTGACACTCGCTACCGCGCTGCGCTTCTTGCTGAGTTCTGTGCCAAGAACCCTCCCCCTATGTACATCACCCTCTACTACATAGTCACCCGGCTCCCTGACTCCCTTCGCTTAGTCAGGGACCACTTCCTCTCAGTTTGCCCCACCACACTCACCGTTGACCTCCTCGAGGAGCGCCTCCTGGCAGCAGAGAAGAGCATAGTCGCTGTAGGAGCCTCTCGTGGTGACCCCCGTACCCCCGTCTTTGAGGGGTGTTCCCCCTCCCCCCTCTTGCCCTCTGTTGCTTCTGCTGCTGCGGCCGACCTCGTTGGCTTCGAGTCGGTCGGTGCTGCGTCTGCCCCTAGCGGGAGACGCCGCACCGGCAAGGGCAAGGGGGGCAAGGGCACTGGAGGGGCTGGCGGGGGCGGTGGAGGTGGCAGTGGAGGCAGTGGAGGGGGTGGGGGTGGTGGTGGGAGTGGTGGCGGGGGTGGAGGTGTCGGTGGCAGCAGTGGAGGCGGAGGAGGCGGCGGCGGTGGCGGTGGGAGCGGAGGCGGCGGTGGTGGCGGAGGCGGCGGGGGCGGCGGTGGAGCTGGTCGCGGCTCTACGCAGAGGAGTGGCTCCGGTGGTGGTCCGCGCCAGCTGCAGCAGCGCACTCGTGAGATCCTGTCCCCCCAACAGCTTCGTGAGTGGTATGCTGGGCGTCAGCGAGGTGGGGGTACTGGTCCCTGTACCTACGTCCTCCGTACCGGCGACCGCGCTGGTGAGCAGTGCAGGGGCTCGCACTCCACCCAACACTGCTTCGGCCGCCTGACGGACGCTTGGCGTCACCAGTTCCCTGACGCCACTGAGATCCCTCGCTGGGGAGAGCTGTCTAGGGCGAGGGTTGCTATCTTTGATCTTGACTATGATGCTATTCTTGCTGCCATGTATGCTGTGTCTAATAGTGATGAGGGTGACTGTTACCTGTGTGTTCCGCCTGACCCGGGCATTGAGGCTGCTGCTCTAGGTGCTAGTGCGTCTGCTGCCCCAGGTGCTGGTGAGTCTGCTCTCTCAGGTACCACGTCGGCTCAGGCCTTCCATACCTTCACCCTTGACTCGGGTGCTTCTCGCTCCTTCTTTCGAGACCGCACCACACTCACGCCGCTTAGTCGGCTGGTTGCGGTCTCCCTGGCGGACCCCTCTGGGGGTCCTGTCCTTGCTCGCTTCTCCACTGTCTTACCGTGTCCGGCAGCCCCCTCTGGCACCCTGTCAGGTCTCTACCTCCCCTCGTTCTCTACGAACTTGGTGAGTGGTGCTGATCTACAGGATGGGGGGGTTGACCAGTTCACTCCTGCGAGTCAGCGGGTGACCCACTGTACGTGTGCTCGGACGGGCCGACACTTGGCCACGTTTACCCGTCGGCCGGGGTCGAGCCTGTACACACTGACTACTGAGTCTCCTCCGGTTGCTGAGTCAGGTCAGGTAGCTGCGTCGAGTCAGGTGTTTGCTGCAGCGTCCAGGTCTGGTCCTGAGTCTGCTCCCTGCTCGTGTCGTCTCCTGTCCCACCAGACTCTCCTTTGGCACCACCGCCTTGGCCACCCCTCCCTGCCTCGTCTCCGAGGCATGGCCTCCCGTGTCCTTGTCTCTGGTCTCCCCCGGTCCCTCCCTCCCCTCCCTCCGGGGCCTGCCCCTACCTGCGTTCCCTGCGTCGAGGGGCGGCAGCGCGCCGCCCCTCACTCCTCCGAGTTTCCTCCGACAGAGGCTCCCCTGCAGACTCTTCACATGGACGTGTGGGGCCCCGCCCGCGTCCGTGGCCAGGGTCACGAGCGTTACTTCCTGTTGGTGGTTGACGACTACTCGCGTTACACCACGGTGTTCCCCTTGCGCAGCAAGGGTGACGTCACTGAGGTGTTGATCGACTGGATCCGCGCGGCTCGTCTCCAGCTCAGAGAGAGTTTCGGCTCGGACTTTCCTGTTCTGCGTCTGCACTCTGACAGAGGCGGGGAGTTTTCCTCTGCCCGTCTGGGAGCCTTCTGTCGTGCACAGGGCATCCGCCAGACCTTCACGCTTCCGGCCTCTCCACAGCAAAATGGGATTGCTGAGCGCCGCATTGGCATGGTCATGGACGTCGCTCGTACGTCCATGATCCATGCGGCTGCTCCCCATTTTCTGTGGCCGTTTGCGGTTCAGTACGCAGCGCATCAGCTCAACCTTCAGCCCCGGGTCTCCTTGCCAGAGACCTCCCCCACCTTGCGGTGGACGGGGAAGGTTGGCGATGCGTCTGCGTTTCGTGTCTGGGGATCTCGGGCGTTTGTCCGCGACTTGTCTGCGGACAAGCTGTCCCCCCGTGCTGTTCCCTGCGTCTTCCTTGGCTTCCCCCCTGACGCGCCTGGTTGGCAGTTTTACCACCCCACCTCGCGCCGTGTTCTGTCCTCCCAGGACGTCACCTTTGACGAGTCGGTGCCTTACTACCGTCTCTTCCCCTACCGCACTACGCCCCTCCCCCCGCCGCCGCTCTTCCTTGCACCAGGTCCTCCCCCGGTAGACCCTCTCCCCCCTCAGGGTCCTGCCCCGTCAGGTGTGTCCCAGGTAGACGCAGTCGAGCCTGTCGAGGTAGCTGTTGACTCTGGTGCTGCTAGGGGTGCTGAGCCTGCGGGTGCCGGGTCTGGGGGTGCTGAGCCTGGGGGTGCGGAGCCTGGGGGTGCTGAGTCTGTTGGAATCACTGAACAGGAATGAATGAACTAGCAATGAAAAGAGTACAAGTA